AGGGCGGCAGGAGCACGGCAGGAGGGTGGCAAGAGGGCGGCAGGAGAGCGGCAGGAGCGCGGCAGGAGGGTGGCAGAAGGGCAGCAGGATGGCAGCAGGAGCGCGGCAGGAGGGCAGCAGGAGCATAACAGGAGCGTGGCAGGAGGGCGGCAGGAGAGCGGCAGGAGAGCGGCAGGAGCACGGCAGGAGGGTGGCATGAGGGCGTCAGGACGTGGCAGGAGGGTGGAAGGAGGGCGGCAAGAGGGAGGCAGGACGGTGGAAGGAGGGCGGCAGGAGCGTGGCAGGAGGGTGGAAGGAGGGTGGCAGGAGGGTGGAAGGAGGGTAGCAGGAGCTAGACAGGAGGGTGGCAGGAGCGTGGCAGGAGGGAGGCAGGAGCACGGCAGGAGGGCGGCAGGAGCGTGGCAGAAGGGCGGCAGGAGCAGGGCAGGAGGGTGGCAGAAGGGCAGCAGGAGTGCGGCAGAACGGCAGCAGGAGGGCGGCAGGAGCACGGCAGGAGGGCGGCAGGAGGACGGCAGGAGGGTGGGCAGGAGCGCGGCAGGAGGGCAGAAGGAGCACAGCAGGAGGGTGGCAGGAGGGCGGCAGGAGGGTGGTAGGAGCGTGGCAGGAGCGTGGCAGGAGGGCGGCAGGAGCGTGGCAGGAGGGTGGAAGGAGGGCGGCAGGAAGGAGGCAGGATGGTGGAAGGAGGGCAGAAGGAGCGTGGCAGGAGGGAGGCAGGAGGGTGGATGGAGGGAGGCAGGATGGTGGCAGGAGCGCGGCAGGAGGGCAGAAGGAGCTTGGCAGGAGGGCGGCAGGAGCACGGCAGGAGGGTGGCAGAAGGGCAGAAGGAGTGCGGCAGAAGGGCAGCAGGAGGGCGGCAGGAGCACGGGGAGGAGGACGGCAGGAGGGTGGCAGGAGCACGGCAGGAGGGCAGAAGGAGCGCCGCAGGAGGGCGGCAGGAGCACGGCAGGAGGGTGGCAGAAGGGCAGCAGGAGTGCGGCAGAAGGGCAGCAGGAGGGCGGCAGGAGCACGGCAGGAGGACGGCAGGAGGGTGGCAGGAGCACGGCAGGAGGGCAGAAGGAGCACCGCAGGAGGGCAGCAGGAGCACGGCAGGAGGGTGGCAGAAGGGCAGCAGGAGTGCGGCAGAAGGGCAGCAGGAGGGCATCAGGAGCACGGCAGGAGGGTGGCAGGAGCGCGGCAGGAGGGTGGCAGGAGCGCGGCAGGAGGGCAGAAGGAGCGCGCGGCAGGAGGGCGGCAGGAGAGCGACAGGAGCACGGCAGGAGGGTGGCAGGAGGGCGGCAGGAGCATGGCAGGAGGGCGGCAGGAGCATGGCAGGAGGGTGGAAGGAGGGCGGCAGGAAGGAGGCAGGACGGTGGAAGGAGGGCAGAAGGAGCATGGCAGGAGGGTGGAGGAGGGCGGCAGGAGGGTGGCAGGAGGGTGGGAGGGAGGCAGGAGGGTGGAAGGAGGGTAGCAGGAGCGTGGCAGGAGGGCGGCAGGGGCGTGGCAGGAAGGAGGCAGGAGCACGGCAGGAGGGTGGCAGGAGCATGGCAGGAGGGTGGAGGGCAGCAGGAGGGGCAGGGAGGGCAGCAGGAGCACGGCAGCAGGAGGGTGGCAGCAGGGCAGCAAGTGCAGCAGAAGGGCAGCAGGAGGGCGGTAGGAGCATGGCAGGAGCGCGGCGGCAGGAGAACAGCAGGAGGGCGGCAGGAGGGTGGTAGGGGGGGCGGCAGGAGCGTGGCAGGAGGGCGGTAGGAGCGTGGCAGGAGGGAGGCAGGAGGGTGGAAGGAGGGCGGCAGGAGCGCGGACACAGCCCGTCCAAAGCTGGTTTTGTTTTTCCTGCTGTTCTATTAATCAGCCCGCCTCCATCTGTGACATGCCGGGCCTTCTAACTGCTCAGACTCCATCTGTTCCTGAAGCTGTGGTGGCCCCGTGGCCCTCTGCTGCTGCTGGGCCCTTTGTTGGCCCGTCATTACGATTGTTTTCCTGATTGGATTCATTGTACTACTGCCTCTCCTTTAAGCGCGGCCTCGTTCTGTCATAATTTCTGTGTTTGTACAAATGAAACTTTGTAGCTGTGAAAGTCAATCCAAGAAGTGATACAAATCAATACGGTGTTCATTGTGCTGCACGGAGACCTGTGTTCCCCCTCCTGTTTGGCACTAGTTAGTACAGGCCCTAGGCAGACACTTTCAGCCTCCCTGCACTCTCCACACTTAGTTTTTCTTTGACTAAAAATCGAAGATTAACCCTTCTTGTCACCAAACGGCGGAATATTTGCGTCCCATTTGAAAACACATATGTGCTGAGAGCGTGCACCCTGCACATATGTCGGGTGTCTCACGGAAAGGTCCTGATCTTCCCTAGCAATCGGGACCTTTTCCAATCATGTGACAGCCAATCACGGCAGTCACATGACCCTACAACCCCACCTCCCGGTGTCTGAAACCCCTTAAAGGGCCGGGAGGTGCCGGTGTGAAGAGGTTAAAGTGATTCTAAAGGTTTATTTTTTTCAAGTAAAAAAAAAACAAACATTGATGGTCCATGTAGTGAACTCGGTGTAGTTATTCATCCTGAGGTCATCCCAGAGGACAAGGGGGCGCTCTTTACGTCTGGAGCACGGGTGTCAAACTGGCGGCCCTCTAACTGTTTCCAAACTACAAGTCCCATGAGGCATTGCAAGACTGACAGTTACAAGCAAATGACTCCTAAAGGCAGAGGCATGATGGGACTTGTAGTTTGGCAACAGCTGGAGGACCGCCATTTTGTCACCCCTGGCCTGGAGTCAAAGCAATGTAATCTCCAAACACGGAAAGGTTTCTTCACAGTAAGAGCTGTGAGAATGTGGAATAGACTCCCTCCAGAGTTGGTTGTGGCCAGCTCAGTGGATTGCTGTAGGAAAGTCCTGGATCCCTTCTTGGATACACAGAATATAACTGGATATAACATTTATAGGTAAAGCTGATCCAGGGAATATCCGATTATTGATCCAGGGAATATCCGAATATTGATCCAGGGAATATCCGAATATTGATCCCGGGAATATCCGATTGCCTCTCGGGGGATCAGGAAGGAATTTTTCCCCTGCAGGAGCAGATTGGATCGTGCTTTGCCGGGTTTTTACCTTCCTCTGGATCACCTGTGGGTGGAGGATTATATATTTTTTTGTAATGGTTGAACTGGAAGGACTTTTGTCTTTTTTTCAGCCAGACTAACTATGTAACTATGTATCTATGTAAATATGTAACTATGTAACTATGTAACTAAGTAACTATGTATCTATGTAAATAAGTAACTATGTATCTATGTAAATATGTAACTATGTAACTAAGTAACTATGTAATCTATGTAAATATGTAATTATGTAACTATGTAAATATGTAATTATGTAACTATGTAACTATGTAACTATGTAACTATGTAACTATGTAACTATGTAACTATGTATCTATGTAAATATGTAACTATGTAACTATGTAAATATGTAACTATGTAACTAAGTAACTATGTATCTATGTAAATATGTAACTATGTAACTATGTAATTATGTAATTATGTAACTATGTAAATATGTAATTATGTAACTATGTATCTATGTAAATATGTAACTATGTAACTAAGTAACTATGTAACTATGTAACTATGTAAATATGTAATTATGTAACTATGTAACTATGTAAATATGTAACTATGTAACTAAGTAACTATGTAATCTATGTAAATATGTAACTATGTAACTATGTAACTATGTAATATGTAATTATGTAACTATGTAACTATGTAACTATGTAAATATGTAACTATGTAACTGTAACTATGTAAATATGTAATTATGTAACTATGTATCTATGTAAATATGTAATTATGTAACTAATGTATCTATGTAAATATGTAATTAAGTAACTAAGTAACTATGTAAATATGTAACTATGTAACTAAGTAACTATGTAAATATGTAATTATGTAACTATGTGCACCAAACATAAAGAGTGCCCCCAGGTTCTCTACCCCAAGCTCAGTATATGTTTGTTATTTCTGATCAATGTTTATAAACAATGTTACTTTGTATGCATCTCCATCTGGACAATGTTTGTAAACACTATCAGATGGTCTGTTTTTGACAGCAGCTTTTGTATTTAAAACAGCAACTCCTGGCTTTCATGTTGAACAAGTGCAAGGAGGGTGGGGGGGGGGGGGGGGGCAAGAAATGACAGGCATGCTACAGACGTCATGTGTACTTTTATTATTATTATTATACAGGATTTATATGGCGCCAACAGTGTGCGCAGCGCTGTACATAATGAAGGCGGACAGTCCAGTCACAATATCAATTGGTTCAGGAGGACACGGGGGGGGGGCGGCTCCTTAGAACTGACTTCTATTACATTTGTGGTCCTCTATGGATCGAAGCCCAGTGACCACAACTGGCTAAATGTTTATGAATTGTCAGTTGTGGCCCCTCCATCATCCAGTTGATCACATTTTGCCCATTCTTGTACATTTCTATCCTCTTTATGACGGGTTCTGACATTCTTAGGGCCCCTTGAAGCGTTCCAGAATCACTAATGAGGAAGCAAAGTAACAATTATGCGCGTTGCTGGTATACAAAAGCACTTAATGAATTTCCGGTTAAATTATTAATCTGGAGGAGCCGGCACATTGTTTGTTGTGCATTTACTGATGATTTCATTAAGCCATTATATTATAATCATAGGCCGCGGCATTTTTTTCCCTTTGTATAATTGCGCTGTAAGCGCAGCCTCTCCTCCCCGACACCACATGAATAAATAAATATGAAGAGCTCACTTTGTATACTGCGGAAGAAATGAGAACATATATCCCGGCACTGCCCTGTAGGGATAGGAAGACATAGAACCGCTGCTCCTGACGATCGATGTGCGCTGCTCCTGACGTTCGATGTGTGCTGCTCCTGACGTTCGATGTGTGCTGCTCCTGACGTTCGATGTGCGCTGCTCCTGCGTTCGATGTGTGCTGCTCCTGACGTTCGATGTGCGCTGCTCCTGACGTTCGATGTGCGCTGCTCCTGGCGTTCGATGTGCGCTGCTCCTGACTTTCGATGTGCGCTGCTCCTGACGTTCAATGTGCGCTGCTCCTGGCGTTTGATGTGTGCTGCTCCTGGCGTTCGATGTGTGCTGCTCCTGACGTTCAGTATTCTATCCTCCCTCCAGCCTCCCCTTCAGTCTTCTATCTTCCTTCCATCCCCCTCTTCAGTCTTCTGTCCTCCTTCCATCCCCCTCTTCAGTCTTCTGTCCTCCCTCCATCCCCCTCCAGTCTTCTATCCTCCCTCCAGCCTCCCCTTCAGTCTTGCACAGGTGTAACAGCTCCTCCCCTTCAGTCTTCCACAGGTGTACCGGCTCCCCCTCTTCAGTTTTCCACAGGTGTCCCCGCTCCCCCCCTTCCGTCTTGCACAGGTGTATTGGTTCCTCCTCTTCAGTCTTGCACAGGTGTATCGGCTCCTCCCCTTCAGTCTTGCACAGGTGTACTGGTTCCTCCCCTTCAATCTTCCACAGGTGTACCGGCTCCTCCCCTTCAGTCTTGCACAGGTGTACCGGCTCCTTCCCTTCAGTCTTGCACAGGTGTACCGGCTCCTCCCCTTCAGTCTTGCACAGGTGTACCGGCTCCTCCCCTTCAGTCTTGCACAGGGTGTACCGGCTCCTCCCCTTCAGTCTTGCACAGGTGTAATGGCTCCTCCCCTTCAGTCTTGCACAGGTGTTTTGCTCCTCCCCTTCAGTCTTGCACAGGGTGTGCCGACTCCTCCCCTTCAGTCTTGCACAGGTGTACCGGCTCCTCCCCTTCAGTCTTGCACAGGTGTTCCGGCTCCTCCCCTTCAGTCTTGCACAGGTGTACCGGCTCCTCTCCTTCAGTCTTGCACAGGTGTGCCGGCTCCTCCCCTTCAGTCTTGCACAGGGTGTACCGGCTCCTCCGCTTCAGTCTTGCACAGGTGTACCGGCTCCTCCCCTTCAGTCTTGCACAGGTGTACCGGCTCCTCCCCTTCAGTCTTGCACAGGTGTACCGGCTCCTCCCCTTCAGTCTTGCACAGGTGTGCCGGCTCCTCCCCTTCAGTCTTGCACAGGTGTACCGGCTCCTCCCCTTCAGTCTTGCACAGGTGTACCGGCTCCTCCCCTTCAGTCTTGCACAGGTGTGCCAGCTCCTCCCCTTCAGTCTTGCACAGGTGTGCCAGCTCCTCCCCTTCAGTCTTGCACAGGTGTACCGGCTCCTCCCCTTCAGTCTTGCACAGGTGTACTCTGATGTCACTGAACACTGGGAGCTTCTTACAATTTGCATTAGAAGCTGCAACCAGTCAGATAGAGCTCCGCCCCATTTCCTTGCTGGAGGACGCCCAGCATGATCTAGCTCTTTTTGGGGGGTTTGAGGAGATCTATATTGGCCAGCAGATCTGTACGGGGGGGGGGGGGTTCTGTAGTGGGAGGATTTTATTTGGGTGGGGGGAGATCTGCACTGGGCAGGAGAGCTGTACTGGGGGGCTGTAGAGAGGGGAGTTTGGGGGGATCTGTACTAGATCTAAACTGGGCGGGGGCTGTAGGGAGGGTATTTGGGTGGGGGGCAAATCTGTACTGGGCAGGAGATCACTACTTGGGAGGGATCTGTAGGGGATATTTTATTTGGGTGGGGGGAGATCTGCAATGGGCAGGAGAGCTGTACTGGGGGGTGGGGCTGGATGAGGGTATTTGGGTGGGGGTATATCTGCACTGGGCAGGAGAGCTGTACTGGGGGGGGGTTATAGGGGAAATTTTATTCGGGTGGGAGGAGATCTGGGCTTGGCAGGAGAGCTGTACGGGGGGGGGGGGGGGGGGGGCTGGATGGGGGTATTTAGGTAGGGGGGAGATCTGCACTGGGTAGGAGATCAGTTGGGAGGGGAGATCTGTAGGGGGGATTTTATTTGGGTGGGGGATGATCTGTACTTGGCACTAGCCCTGTATGGGGGGTAGAATAGGGTTGGGATCTGTAAAGTGGAGGATTTTATTTGGTTGCAGGAAGATCTGTACTGTTAGGGAGATCTAGTTGGAGATCTGTACTGGAGGGAAAACAGTCCGTGGGTGAAAGGGAGCTATACTAGAGGTGGGGGGGGGGGGAGATATGTAATCAGGGGAGGGGAATCTGTATTAATGGGGGAGATCTGTACTGAGGGGGGTTTTGTCTTGAGGAGGGAAGTAATTTTTGTTATACTTTGTCTCCTGACTTCTGCACTCTGGATGCTGGGCTGCATATGACATACTCCAGAACCCTGCATTCTGATGCTGGGCTGCATATGACATACTCCAGAACCCTGCACTCTGGATGCTGGGCTGCATATGACATACTCCAGAACCCTGCACTCTGGATGCTGGGCTGCATATGACATACTCCAGACCCCTGCACTCTGGATGCTGGGCTGCAAAAACATATGACATACTCCAGACCCCTGCACTCTGGATGCTGGCTGCATATGACATACTCCAGACCCCTGCATCTGGATGCACACTTACTCCAGACCCCTGCACTCTGGATGCTGGGTTGCATGTCCTGACCCCTGCATATGATTACATACTCCAGACCCCTGCACTCTGGATGCTGGGCTGCATATGACATACTCCAGACCCCTGCACTCTGGATGCTGGGCTGCATATGACATACTCCAGACCCCTGCACTCTGGATGCTGGGCTGCATATGACATACTCCAGACCCCTGCACTCTGATGCTGGACTGCATATGACATACTCCTGACCCCTGCACTCTGGATGCTGGGCTGCATATGACATACTCCAGACCCCTACTCCACTCTGGATGCTAGGTTGCATGTGACATACTCCAGACCCCTGCACTCTGGATGCTGGACTGGCACTCTGGATGCTGGGCTGCATATGACATACTCCAGACCCCTGCACTCTGGATGCTAGGTTGCATGTGACATACTCCACATGCACGGGAACACCCCCCAGAGTCAATTGGCCGAGGACTAATGTCCAGCCCACATCCAAATTCCCATAAATTGAGGACCCTGACATTGGGACATTGTGATTTGTATGGAGCTGGTTCGATCGACTAACGGATTACGGACTTTTTCTGACTTCCTCCAGTCGCAGGGTAAATCTCGGTAAAAGTTTTATTTCTGTTTTTTATTCCCTTTTATTTTATAGTGAATAATCATTTGTGTGTCTTCTTATATTTTTTGTATTTCTGTAACTTTTCATATTTTGTACATATGTTATGCTCCGCCTACTTTCGGGAAATTAAATCTTAAAATTAATTAGTGACTTCTGTGTATTTAAGCTCGGGCTCATATCTCCGGAGAGATTAGATTGGAGAGATTAGATTGTATCATATTTTAGTGCCTTTATATGCTCGGTCAAGCTCATTGCCAATCTGTATGCAATTGCACTGTGTGTGGGCAGATTGTATGCAGATTGTAAAGGTAACAGATCTGCCAGACGGAGATCTGTGTGTGTGGGGTGTCCCAACAGACCGTTCTGCGGATAAACTGTTGGGTGGTGGCAGGCTACCGTTTGTGGTGTGTCTGGTGTGTAGACAGTGGAAGAGTGATTGACACCGGGGTTCTAGCTGTAGGATAGCTGGGGGAACCTAGAAGGGTGTGTGATTGCTAAGCTGCTCCTCAACCCTCAGTGTGCACCAGATTGTATATAAGATTTGTATCTGCCCATGTGTGGTCGGCCAGCTGGATTGGAGTGGAGTCTCCATCTGGTGGTGGCCAAGAGGTAGTGCGGGCTGTGGAAGGATATCACGGCCGGTCTTATATACGGTTTTATATATTCAAAGTTAAGTCCCCTTTATTCCCTCTTACCCCAAGTCAGGGCCGCACATGCGCGCCTCGGTTAGCTAGTCGCTGTGGGCGTGGCATGTGGGGGATCCATGACACCTACAATGAACACATTTCTTACAAACAGCTGCCTACAGATCACACTGAATACATTAAAATGTGATCTAGCTATGTATGTGACTTTAACAAACACAATGAAAGAACTTACAGGTATATCAAAGGAGGAATGAGGAGACCTTCACTGCCGTTCTTCTAGAAGCTGTAAAGGCTGCAGTGGTTTATGGGATATCTTTATTCCTAACAAACATGAGACACTTCCGATTCTTTGTTGATAAGGGTGCAATTGCAGTGAACGTCCAATAGATGGCTCCCTACTCAACACAATGATGACATACAGAACAAACAGTAAACATTTCTTCCCCTTCAAGTAGAGTTGTGATTTTTTTTTTCTGCTTTGTGAAATAAAAAGCTAAAATATTGTTAATAATAAATCCAAAATGCAATCACACCTCCACTACTCTCACCTCTTCAACACCCTTGCACCTTGCCCTTACTTCACCACTGCACCCCTCACCCCATCCCCACATTGTGCACCCTACACCTTTCCTCCATCCCTGCTCATTTCTGTACTCCTTTGCACATTTCCTCTTCCACTCTTCAGCTCTGCACCCCTTTTCCACCATTGCTCACCTCTATACCCTTCCTCCACCACTGGTCATCACTGCACTCCCTGCACCCTTCCTACAGCGTTACTCACCTCTGCACCCTTCCTCCACCTCTAATCACCTCTATATCCCTCTGCACCCTTCTTCAACCACTACTCCTCTCTGCACCACCTGCACTCTTCCTTCAGCATTGCTAACCTCTGCACCGTTCCTCCACCACTGCTCCTCTCTGCACCCCCTGCACCCTTCCTCCAGCATTGCTAACCTCTGCACCTTTCCTCCACCACTACTCCTCTCTGCACCCCCTGCACCCTCCTGCACCCCCTGCACCCTTCCTCCACTATTGATCACCTCTATACACCAATGCATCTTTCCTCTTCTACCCTAGCTGCACCCTTCCTCCACTGCTACTCCTCCCTGCACCCTTCATTCACCACTGCTCACCTCTGAACCCTTCTTTCATCACTGCTCATTTCTGTACTCCATTGCACATTTCCTCTTCCACTCTTCAGCTCTGCACTCTTTTTACATCATTGCTCACCTCTACACCCTTCCTCCACCACTGGTCATCACTGCACTCCCTGCACCCTTCCTACAGCATTACTCACCTCTACACCTTCCCTCCACCACTGGTCACCTCTATACACTTCTGCACTATCCTTCCACCACTGCTCACCTCTGCACTATTCTTCCACCACTGCTCACCTCTGCACCCTTCATTCACCACTGCTCACCTCTGCACCCCTCATTCACCACTGCTCAACTCTGCACCCTTTATTCACCACTGCTCATCTCTGCACTATTCTTCCACCACTGCTCACCTCTGCACCCTTCATTCATCACTGCTCACCTCTGCACCCTTCATTCGCCACTGCTCACCTCTGCACCCTTCATTCGCTACTGCTCACCTCTGCACCCTTCTTTCATCACTGCTCACCTCTGCACCCTTCATTCATCACTGCTCATTTCTGTACTCCATTGCACATTTGCTCTTTCACTCTTCAGCTCTGCACCCCTTTTACACCATTGCTCACCTCTATACCCTTCCTTCACCACTGGTCATCACTGCACTCCCTGCACCCTTCCTACAGCATTACTCACCTCTACACCCTTCCTCCACCACTGATCACCTCTATACACTTCATTCGCCACTGCTCACCTCTGCACCCTTCTTTCATCACTGCTCACCTCTGCACCCTTCATTCCACCACTGCTCACCTCTGCACCCTTCATTCACCACTGCTCACCTCTGCACCCTTCATTCGCCACTGCTCACCTCTGCACCCTTCATTCCATCACTGTTCACCTCTGCACCCTTCATTCCCACTGTTCACCTCTGCACCCTTCATTCACCACTGCTCACCTCTGCATCCTTCATTCACCACTGCTCACATCTGCACCCTTCATTCACAAATGCTCACCTCTGCACCCTTCATTCGCCACTGCTCACCTCTGCACCCTTCTTCATCACTGCTCACCTCTGCACCCTTCATTCATCACTGCTCACCTCTGCACCCTTCATTCGCCACTGCTCACCTCTGCACCCTTCATTCGCCACTGCTCACTTCTGCACCCTTCATTCACCACTGCTCACCTCTGCACCCTTCATTCGCCACTGCTCACCTCTGCACCCTTCATTCGCCACTGCTCATCACTGCACCCTTCATTCATCACTGCTCACCTCTGCACTCTTCATTCGCCACTGCTCACCTCTGCACTATTCTTCCACCACTGCTCACTTCTGCACCCTTTTTTCATCACTGCTCATTTCTGTACTCCATTGCACATTT